TTTTTTCTTTCTTTCTTCTTGCGGTCGCCGTCTTCGGGGGCTGCAAGGTTGTGTCTAATTCTGTGGATAAGGAATGGAAAGAGACAAGTACAATGATGTAATTTGACACAATAATCTAGTTCAAATAGATTTTATCTCACCCTTCCACCCAGGAACACTTTTATCTTGTATATTAAGGATTTCTTTGGATTTAATCTCGGGCCCTAAAATTATCCCGGGCTTTTATCATGGTAGCAAACATTATATTAGGCCATGATAAATGGTTTATCCTATCTTATCCTTCCAAACAAATGAGCTCTGAAAGTTTTATGATTTTGATTAATTTAGATATATGGCATAATTCTCACTTTGAGTTTTTTTTTCTTTTCTCGAGACGAGAGACTTTATGAATAATAAGACGATTTACAAATAAGATCACAACTAAATAGTTGAATAAAAAGCTACCCAACTGAATCAAAATGAAAGGGTTACAGAAAGCATAGCCTAGAACCAAACGAAAAGCTCCCAAAAAGAGAATACAAAAACTCCCACAAGTAGAGTCTACACCAAGCTCACTCCCTAAGAAGAGAAAAGCTCAAAACACAAAAAACATAAGAAAAACCTAAAAAACATAATAATCCAAAGCCCTCCCCACCAGCTAAGAAGCCTCTCCCAAACACTCCAAGCGGACAGACACCTAAGGCAACCAAAAGGGAAGATAAAGCCCCCCACCCAACACGAAACTAGAAACCCTCTACGCGGCTAACTAGAACAGCACCAAAAGGGTCTGAAACCCTCCCAATAGTCCAACACAGAAATGGCACCAGAGGACCCACTCTAAAGTTTCCCTAGCCCAACCAGCGACCGCCGTCAATCAACCGAAGTCTAAGCTGCCCCCGCCGGTGGACCCTTCTCACTTAACACCAAGATAGAACAAGAGCAAAGGAAAACCATGCACCAATCCAAAACCCCCAACCACCCGCCACAGTTGGTCATCAAGATCCACCACCGAAAGCAACCCAATAACCCGCTGGACCCCTTGCCGCCATTGCCAGGTGAGACAGTGAAAAATCCAAGTGCATGGTACCACTGCCTCGAGATCGCTAGCAGCGCCGATTCTGGCCCTGCGCGTGGGCGTCGGACCCACCAAGATAGAGAGAGCCGTCGCTCAGTCCTGGCCACCGCATGGACAACCTTCACTGCCGGCAGCCGAGGCTCTTCTAGTTAGGAGCCAGAGCTCGAAAACTGACCAGCCACCCAAAGAGGAGAAGCCCTCTCTAGCCAGAAAATTGTCTCCTTCCCATCAAACCACAGGCATCCCAAGTGAAGGACTAAGTTGCACGACTCTGGAATTATGCCAGAGAAAAAGTGGGCCCGAGTCCAAGCGCGATGAGGTTTTTGCTATAATAAAAGAAGGGAAAAGGGGGCGAGGAGAGTTAATTTGTTGTTACTACATTTAAGATCTTCAGGAAATTGTTGTTCTTTCTCTCCTATTTTTTCATGTAAAACAAATAGTATAATGGACATTCAAGGGTATAATGGACAATATACATGTGGATTTTCGGACATAAAAGTCATTTTTGTGTAGGGATAAAATTATCTCACCTACAAGATGTGATAAAATTATTTTGCCAGTTATGGATACAGGCGTGTGCCCACCAGCCACATGCATGACACATAGGATTTATCCCAATCCTGATCCTTCATAGTAAATGTCGGGTAAGGTTGGTTAAGGAATGTTATCTCATTGTAGTTTGTGTGGTTTGTGAATATAAAAAAGACAGCTTAAGGAGAATGAAGAAAACGAAAAAAATAAAAGTCGAGGCACGTAATAGTTACGTTCTCTTAAAGAAGAAATTGTACCGTAAAATAACACGGTTAACGCAAATGTCTCCAAGATACAACGACTTTCAACTTGTATATAGCGGTACTTCGAATATACAAGCATTAGACAAACAATACTAGTGTTTGAAACTCTCAAAACTCAACGAAAAAATCAAAGAACACAATATGCTTTATGAAGTTTGAAAATGTAATGCAAGAGCTCATAACTTTTTCAAGTGTGAATGATTTCATCCATGTGGGTATTTATAGATGTTGAAAAATACCTCCAAGAGGTTTAAGTATCAAAAACCACATTTTCGAACGTACCCAAAAAAGAACAGATGCATCTAGAGGTCAAAAGACACCTTATGGTCTCTAAGGGTCGCGACCTTTCGCTGGCCGCGACCAGCTGCATGTCCGTACGCAGCGAGCTCATACGAGCTCGTCCGGACACATAATCGAGTTTTGTTTTTTTCTACTCATTTCCAACGAACCGTTTTAGAGTCATAACATGCATTGCATGACTAGATCTCGTTTCAATTCATCAAAGATTAAATATTTTGTGAATTTAATAATTTGAGTTACTTAAACTCATTGCTTCAACCTTATATTATGGATTTGGATACATTGGATTTTTTGGGTTACGTGGCAATGGAATAGAATAATCCATGAACCATTGGAGGTTCTCTAATTGTCGAAGTCTAGCTGGTTTCAAGGCTAAGATATTTAACGCGATGATTAAGAAACTGAAATCTTATACACGTCTACTATAAGCTCAGATATATCCATGAGAATGCAGGATTGAAAAAATACAAGCTCATATACATCCACAATTTTCACCCAATATACACTCTTTTGCATACAGATTGTGGGTCAATGCAAAAAAAAAAAGTGTAATTCCTTCTAAACAATAAAATATATTGGCATTGGGCAGAATATATTTACTATTTATATCATCCGCAATCGCCTGAATCTCGAGACGTTCTTCGAACCAATTATAGACTTTATTGAGATAGGTGAAAATCCACCTCTCAGAGCCGTATATAGACTTTCATGTCGTACAGCTCAAGCAAAAATACCCAAATAAAATAATAGTAGGATCCGACATGTAATAGAAAGTTTGAAATTTCTGAATCTCCGATTCAATCTTCCCTACATCTATGAAAGAAGAAAAAAAAATCCAAAAGTTCTTCTTTGTTTTGTAGTGCTAATTTTGTAATGATAATGCCAAAACATCAAGTTGGCTCAATCGTCGGTATGTTGATCCTTACGAGCCTCTTGAATCCTCTCTTTACCTATATTTTCTTTTCTTGTTGTTAGATATCTCGTTCCTACACATCTTCTCTTTTTTTCCTGGGCTTTTAGTGAGAGAGTTCGAAGTTCGAAAGGGTCAAATCTTTGGTGATTGTGTCAATATAGTGAAAAAACTAATTACAAAACTAAAGCTTACAACAATTTGATTCAATCTACAAAAAGGAAGGAGAAAAATCTTACCGGATATTTATCGCCTCAGCTAGAGTTGCGATTAACAGGGATGAACATATTAAGTGCAGAATTGTAAATTATTTCTATTTTGAGATCAATTTGAGTAGTTCATATGGTATTTTAGGAAATAAAAGGTAATTTAACTTCACCATGGTGTTGGGACAAAGAAATCACTGCTTTGAGGTCGGACGACAATATCATGGAACTAGGTAATAAAAAGTCAGGCCATCATTGGCTAAGGATAACAAACTGGGACCAAATAATGGGATGTAAACGTGGGATATTTTTGGATATCCCAAGCTAATCAGGGCTTATCATTGTATGTGAACGAGAACTTAGATGTTTTTATGTGCTATGATGGAAGTATAACATATAATACGAAAGGTGCAGCATACGCACGCATGGTGAAGACCATGGAACATTCATGGGGTGATTGGTCACAAAATAAATAAATAAATAAAGAAAAAATCAATTTCAACTCAAAATCTAACTGAATTTTAATTCTAATTCATTATCCTCAATATTATCAATACAATTAACTAATACCAATTAATCATCCTTACACATCATATAAACTTTAGTTAGTATTCGTTCATTCACATAAATATTTAACTATTTTATTCTAAATATCATTTTAATACAAATTCAAAATCCCAATAAAAGTAACCAAACTAACATTTTTAAAATTAACTCTTGTTAACCAAATAAATCACCACAAAAGTTAATAAATTGGTAACCGAGGAGGCCCTCACTCATTCAACAATATCAATCCAATTTTGATGATTTTGTTGGACTTTGGGTAGGAGATGATGCACTTCCAACTTCAGAAATCTTTTTGTAAGATAAACAAAAAAAACACAGATCAGTAAATCATACACCTCAAGATCCATTTCAGACCCTAAGAAATATTGAAATCCAACCTCAATTATGCTTGGTAACAACGTATTCTAAAAGAAAGCAAAGAAGTTTATCATATGGTCTCACGATCATGTTCTTTCACGCCGGCCAAGTAGATGTTGGACTTGAGCACAATTACCTTATCATCCACTAATACATCTCAATAATTATACGAAGAGTAACCATATAACACCCTAATCAGCGTCACATTTATACGAGACTCACGGTCCCTTTTTGCGGCCAAAGCAAACCTATAGTATTACAAGATATTAAAAGTGCATATAAAACTCAAAATTCTGAGCCAAAATTTATAATACTATTGTGATAGAGATTAGTCACATCACACAAACAAGCATGCATAAATATATCATGAGTATAAAAAAAAAAGGCTTACACCATTGGAACATGTCAACAACAGATTTAAATGGTCTGACAAAAAACCCACCAAATTAAATAACCATATTGAGCGAGCCATGGAAACAAGACATATAATCCAATTCGAAATCTCGTGTTCTACAACCGAAAATGAGAAGCACTTCAAAAATCAAGAATCACAGCATAAACACTATCCTTCAATCACTCTATTCTCAGTGTTCACCAGGCAACGACTTGATGATGTCCGAGTCACCTAACATTACCAAGAATATAGATAACGCCAGTCAACAAGTGTAAATCAAAGGGGACGTTATCTGTAACGCCAGTCAACAAGTGTAAACAAGTGTAAGAAACAACAAGACTATATTTGGTACCTGGATCGACAATGCTGAGGCAAGACACACGGAAGTACTTTCCGCAGGCAGTCCCTAAGTCGACATTATCTGTAATTTGTAATGAATTAGCAGTCAAAACAAAAGCATTCTCCTATATTCCATTAACTTATCTACACGGTAAAGATATTTGTTTTATCATTTCACTGAAAAACCATCTATAACAAGAAGCTCCTAAAGCAATTTATGAAATAGACAAGGATGTCAATTCATGACCAGCATTGCAATTAATACCTTTTAATGTCCATCACATATGTATGTCAACCCTCCATATATTATTAACATTTTCCATAAGTGTAATTAGAGAATATTACAGATCCAAAAGCTATAAACTTGCCACAAGCGGCTACATGGTGTTGCACAACATAAAACCTCAACATAAAACACAAAACAAAAATTTTACGAAAACCTCAACACGAAAGACGGGCATTTACAGACCAAATGTATCCAACTAGTAGACTATCACCACAACTATCAAGGGATTATGATTGGAAGATATCAAGTAACTGCAGCTCACCATAAAACTTAACACTAATAAGATCATAACATGCCAGGGAAATAATACTAAAACCAAATATAAAATACAAAAGCTTTGCATCGGTGCCGTAATCTCTGCCATCTAACTTCTTTAAACAAATGCCACAAGTTACATAAGAAAATGATCAAGCCAAATATTGATCAATCCTTTACAATACTACTGAACTCTGCTCGAATACTGAAATTACAAACAAGATTAAAATTCTGCGGCTTACTTCCATTATAGTGGTGAACGCCGACTTTCGCAAGCATAGCATAGTACTCGATTTCCGATTTCCTCAACGGCGGGCAATTGTTGGATATAAGAATCAGCTTTCCTGAATAAAATAAATGTTACAATTACAATCACAATTACAATCGCAATCACACTTTCAGCTAAATGAATAATAAAGATCAAGAACAAACAATTTCGGGAAAAAATTTGAGGATAAAAATGGGACCTTTTGAGTTGCGAAGGGTCTTGAGCACGGTCTTGTACCCGAGCGTGTACTTGCCGCTCTTCATCACCAGAGCGAGCCTGTTGTTGATGCTCTCATGGGTCTTCTTCTGCAAGCCAAGAAGAAAATACCAATAAAAAGAGAAGGTTAAATGATCAGAAACAAGAAATACGATCACAAATCCAGAGTTGGGAGATCGAGGAGGGATGGAAGATTCCTACTGTTTTTTTGGCGGCGACCATTGTTGCTAGAGTGTGCTGATGCTTTGGCCAAATGCGGAGATGAGAGCGAAACCCTAGCTGCGGCGTAAGCCAGCGTAGTAGGGTTTATATAGAGTGAAGTTTTATTCTTTGGAATGATAAAATAGTCCCCAAATTCTTTTGTAGGTTGCTCAAAAGCCACTAGTTTTTCTCATATTTACAAATGGTCTCTCGAATTAACATATAAGTGTGAAATTTAGTACTAGAGTAATTTCTTCTATGTCAAACTACCAGTGGCAAATTTTGAATCTCC